ATTGACTTTAATTTCTCCTTTATAGGTCATATTTGAAAATGCTTTGAAAACTGTCAAAATTTTGTGGTGTTTTTTACATGTTGGGAAAAAATGTATGTACAGATTGACTCCTAAAAGCATATAACGATTTTGTGAACCCCATATTAGAGTACGCAGTTTTGACTGAGGCATCAACAGAAAAAACCATTTTAGAGACAGTTGGATTTAAAGGGTAATCAATAAACTTCGATAAATGTTAGAAATAGAAAATGTTTCAACTTTGATTAAGATACTACCCAGATTTTGCACACTGAATTCTAAAACTAATTTACCATCATTCTAAATCTAAAACTAATTTACCATCATGAGTTTTTGGACAACCTCATTCCAGAAAATTATCAACAGAATAAACTCAATCTTGATTAGAATTAACATAACAAAGTTTTGGAGTCAAAATTAAGTATAGTGATCGACAAGGCGCCGTCAAGGCGCCTCTGATCATAGCAGGATCAGAAGCGCCTGAAAACGGGCTGCAAAGTTCCACGTAATTCTCGCGATGAGATTTAATTTATTTGTTAATGTAGGGGATTTGATAGTGAATGGAATATATATTGCAAACTTTGTATTATGTTGAATTTATTTTTAAAAATTTACAATTTTTCAATTTTTTGTTTCAGAAAATCTCAGAAAATGTTCAAGCAAAACTCAATTTCCACGGCTTAAAATTAAAAATAAGCTGATGTAAGCGTGCTCGCTCGCTTCACTTGCTCGGTTAGACTAAATCTCAAAAGTTTGAAATCAGTTTTTTTTTGGACACAGGGACAAATTGTTTCAATGTCGTTCGAATCACGACTGAAAGGGCTTTAACATAATATATCACTCGACCCATATCGATAATTATTTGTGGTACATGAATTTGCGTGAAAAACAAAATTTAAAACACACCCGAATACAAAATTCCCCTTATTTCCAATGGTCAGAAAACTTATTCAGCTGACTTCGTCCTTATCAGGCTGTGAATACTCTGCAATAAGTTGCAACAGTTATACGAGCTCGCTTTCGATCTAATATCCCTTTCAAGAATTTTTTAATGGTTGTTTATTGTATAGAAGTACACATTTTATGGCTAAAATATGTTTTTTTTACAGGAGGCCGAACGAGATCCAAATAGACCTAGAAGAACGCGCAATTTAAAGCGATCCGCTTCTAGAGGCCCCAATGCGCCCAGGAGAGTTTCAAAAACAGGCAAACCAGCTGGAGGTGCAGTTTCTGCGATCGCCGTCGGACCCAAAGAACCCGGCAGCCAGTCAGTAGAAAAAGAACCAGATGACGCCAATACAGAATCAAAAAAGAAAGAGGATAAAAAAGATTCGGAAAAGAAGGAAGACAAGAAAGACTCAAATGAAGATGAAGATGACAATGCATCAACAGTCATAGAAGGCTCCATAGACAGCAGTGCGTTGTAAAATTGTGGTTTTCTGAAACAACGCTTTAAAAAGTCCGTTTTTTAAAATTAATATTCAAGCTCAAAGTAGAGAGCACTCCCTGCAGTGATTTTTTTCTCAACCGTAGTTTTGAATAAAGAAAAATTTTGGTTAATCAGCCTAAGTTATATGGTGCTTTATTTAGCATCAAAAGGCTTTTAGCTTTACACTATGCAGTAGCATGCCCCACACAGTTCTGGCTGCCATGAGTCAATTTAGGGATGGAGGCGGAGCTCCTCCGTCACATGGATCCGATCTCTTTACGACAGTTACCTTCTTAGGAGGTTTCTTAGCGTAATGGTAAGGAGATAACTTTGAGATTGTGTGACCGATACTGTAATTAAAAGGGACTATGCTTAGACAGGTCTGATCTTCATAGATCTTCTGCGCATCGCAGAAACCTCTTTTTTAGAACATACGTTTTAGGGTGACCGACCCTAAAAGCTAAAAAAAAAGTCTACATTTTTAGCCCGTTAATCAAAAATTTGAATTTGCCTGCGACGCAAAATCTGTTGCAAAATTGTGTCGTTATAGTGTTTTGAGAGAGCTGCTTGTTTCGCCTTGAGAGGAAGTGATGGATTTTTTTCAGGGTGTACTTATTTGCATACAGACCAATTTTGGGCGATCGTATTATTGGTTCTGAATAGACATTTGCTATAATCCAAAAAAAATCAACTCTTTTGTTCAAAAGTAAAAAAAATTCAACTGAAGCCTTTTTTGAAAAAAAATCCCGGTTTGAAAATTACCAGCTCAAATTGTTCAACTGAAATATGCAATCATTTGAAAAATTATATTAACGCGTAATTTGATCTTTTTTAGAGGCAGTGCATTCTTCTGCACTGAATTGAACTGAGGAAAAATAGTTTGTCTCGATAGTTCTCTATGATTGTCAAACGCCAACTCAACTCAAAAGGGAAGAGAAAGAGCAAAAAAAATCAATAATCAAACATAGTAGCAATTTTAATTCTAGCAAAAAGTATCCGAAACACAATAGTTTGCAGTTAAAACATCTAACACTGATAAGAGCTGTTTTATCACGTTTCGTGCTCTTAAAATAGGCCAATTCACACTGAGTATTAAGTAGGTTTTTTTTCCGACTTTGGAAAAAGTGACAAGACTTTTAGCTCGGCGTGATTTTTTTCTTCAGACAAATTTTGATTTTTAATCAGCCGCTTATGAATATTTTTGTTCTTCATTTTTGTTTAGAAATCAAATTTTAATTTTTTTCCGAGACCAATTTTTGTAAAATCATGAGAATTATAACTTTGCCAAGTTGTTCAATTTTGAATAATTAGTTCGCGATGTATTTCTTGCTGTTAACTCGTAAGCGGTGAAATATTCCGGCTCAAAAAAAACACTGCAAATTGAATTGAAGCAAGCTATTCTTCAATTTGAACTTGGTGGAAATTTTGCTATATGGATCAGAAAAAAATCTTGATGAACGGTCAGAATCTTTTTTGAAAGTTATCTTGATAGACAAAAAGGCAGTCGTATGATTCAAGTCTTGTTTTTGTTATCTATGCACACCAAGAACGCGTAAATAACAAATTTCTTTCTACCGAAAATCAAGCAAAATTGACACCAACAACTAAAAAGTTTCAGTTAATCAATGATTTAATATTGTACTGACATTGGCTAGATTCTTGTTTTTACAATCCGCTTTCGCATGAAATTTATTTTAGCTATAGTTTTCAACAGTTCACGCTAGAATTGGTTAAGTTAAAGTTAATAAACAAAAATTAAATTTGCCTAGCAAGGTATTTGTGCGCGAGTCCACGGAATATTTGATGGTGGAATCAACTTAGTTTTCGAAACTTGGTTAAATACTTTTTATTGGATTCCAAAAGCCTACACACTCCAACAGTTTTGCCTCGTAATGCTAAGAAGGTTAAAGTGACAGAATGCGGAGTTTTTGCGCGGAAATAATTGTTGGGGTTGGTTATGTTTTCTAAAACTGATTAGGGTCGATTTTTTCACGCTCAACTTTAGCCGTCGATGGAATCTATTGACATGTCCTTTACCATTTGGTTTTCTGTGATTTGACATTTACTTTATTTTTAAGTTCAGTCCGTTTCCTTTCTTAAAAGAAAGGCAAACCCTTTATCGAACAACAAAATGTGTTGACGCTCAAACTTGATTTTTCGGAGTTTCGATTTTGAGTTTTATTTCAAGTTCAGTTCGTTTCCTTTTTTAAAAGGAAGGTAAGCTCCACTATCTAACAGCAAAAGCTAAATGCCACAAAAACGCGAGCAAATTTTAACTTCGAAATGGGTTTTAATTTAAACACAAGTCATTTTGTTTCCTTTTGTTCGTTCATCGACTATTTTCCAGTTGTCTCTTGACGATGCTATAAGAAAAATGGAGAAAGTTTCAATTTATTATTTAAATCAATGCATTCAACATCAAAGAAAAAATCTCGAAGGCATCATCCCAAAAAAATTGTCTCCTGAGTTGGACAGAACTTTGGCATCTCGTTAACAATTTCATTCGTACATTTATTGCAAAAAACTACGACCGTTTAATAAATAAATTTTAAAATTTTCAGTTTATACAATGAGTGTACCTGGTAACGGTTCTTAACCTCGGTTCTTTTGCAATTGGAGGGTGAAATTGTTTAAAAAATCTGATTTCGTAGAATAGGGTTTTACACATAATGAACAAAGGAATCATTTATAATTCAATTAAATAAAGCAGCGAAAAAAAAACGCACATTTTAAACCTTACCACGAACCACAGTCAGCCATAACAAACCTTGTTTAAAAATCTTTTTATTTCGAAGATTCAGGTTTCTTCAATTAGTTTTATTTAAAATTTGGTATATTTTCAATAGCGTCTGTAGAAATTGGAACGGAATTAGGAGGAATCGGGCGGAAATGGAAATCGCCTCTTACGGTAATTTGACCTATGACTACCCAAAAGGGATCTTTTTTTTGGATTCTATGTCATCAATTTCGGTCAATGAACTCTGAAACTTTCTGTAAGCACCATTGACGCCATTGCATGCTGAAAGTTTTAGTTTTAGAGATAATAAAAACAACGATATCTTAACAATTATTCAAAAAAATATATAGAAAGTCACAGTTGTTACTCAAATTTAATGGGCTATGATTTCCAAAAAATGTCGCATAGGCTACTATACACAACCGGAAAACTTTAACGGGCGCTCTTTTTCTTTTTCACATGTGCGTTTGATGATTAATTTTCACTTTTGATTTTGTAAAATATCAATTACTCAATATCGAGGCTCCACTCGTTGTGGAATGAGTTTAATTACGTAACTTGTGATTCTTGTGACAATGTGAGTGATTACGTAATTGGGTCTTATGCACTAAACGGCCCAAAATCAATGTTTCTATAATTTGAACTGAAAGTTATGCGGTTAAATCTGATTGGCCCAATCAAACTCGAGGAGAATACGGTCAGGTGTTTCAGCCAACGTTTCGAGCAGATAAAAAATTTAGCCGAAATTGAAGAAAATGTACAAATAGTCATATAATAAAATTGACTTCAAGTCAATTGTGAAACTTCGCCCAGAGAAGAAAAATTTTGTGAAAAGGTTTCAACAGAACAAAAGTTCTTAGGTTTTGGTAATTTTGGCTAACAATTTTATCTGCTTGAAGTTTTAATTGAAGTACCATACGCTTTGTTGAATTAGCCAATCAGATTCAACCACATAAAATTTTAGTGCTATGTAGAAATACTAATTTTGGGCCGTTTAGTGCATAAAGACCCCGTAACTTGATTACGCAAAATCGAGGCTCCACTCGTTGTGGAATGAGTTTGATTACGTAACTTGTGATTCTCTTGAGATAATGTGAGTGATTACGTAACTTGATTACGCAATATCGAGGCTCCACTCGTTAGGGAATGAGTTGAGTCGGAGTTCGTCGTCGACTGCAATCGAGATGTACTCTTCTGGCGTGAGCCACTCGCCAGTGATGGGGTCCTCGAAGGTCATCTCCAGCTGGATCTTCACGTGTGGCGCTACACTCACACTTCGCGGCTTCTTTTCTACTTCCAGAAATTCTATCACAAACACCGAGAAAAAAGAACAAATTATTTAAAACTAAGGCAAAATTACAAAATTATGCTGTTCAAAAATTGCTGAATTATGACATTAAAGGGCTGTTTTCCAGTTTCCCACCCCCTCCTAAAATTACAAAATTATGCTGTTCAAAATTGTTCTAACGCATTTTGCATGTAAGAATTAAGCTCTTTTCCAGTTTCCCACCCCCTCCTAAAATTACAAAATTATGCTGTTCAAAATTGTTCTAACGCATTTTGCATGTAAGAATTAAGGCTCTTTTCCAGTTTCCCACCCCCTCCTAAAATTACAAAATTATGCTGTTCAAAATTGTTCTAACGCATTTTGCATGTAAGAATTAAGGCTCTTTTCCAGTTTCCCACCCCCTCCTAAAATTACAAAATTATGCTGTTCAAAATTGTTCTAACGCATTTTGCATGTAAGAATTAAGGCTCTTTTCCAGTTTCCCACCCCCTCCTAAAATTACAAAATTATGCTGTTCAAAATTGTTCTAACGTATTTTGCGTGTAAGAATTAAGGCTCTTTTCCAGTTTCCCACCCCCTCCTAAAGTTACAAAATTATGCTGTTCAAAAATTGTTCTAATGCATTTTGCATGTAAGAATTAAGGCTCTTTTGCAGTTTCCCACCCCTCCTGAAATTACAAAATTATGCTGCTCAAAAATTGCTCACACGGCTTTTTGCATATAAGAAATGCTGCAGAAACTTTGTTCTTGCTGAAACGTTTGGATGCAGTTTATAACAAAAATTGTAATTTATAATAGATTTTTATACATTGAATTTCAGAAAAAAATCAAAGGCGGTTGGAAAAGGGCCAAAATTAGTTTTGGAAAATTTTCATAAATCAACTAGTAATTTGATTGGAAAAATTATAGAATCTATTTAACAATCGATCGCCCCCATCTCTATAGTATCTACTAAAGAATTGCTACACTCAAAAATAAAAGCAGTAAATTAACACTACAGGCTAAATTTAATATATCCAATTTTTAACATATAAAACTATGATTTTAGTCTTCCATGACAACTTTTAGTAAAAATTGTCTACTTGAGAAAATGATGTGCCTGATATTTATCCAACAGTTTTTTCTATGAACGGAGAAAAGAATCAGGTTTTAAGTGCTGAACAAATCAAATTTGAAAAGGAGTTTTGCTTGAAGAAAACCTCGTCCGAATACAAATTTTTCCCACTATTTGCACAAGTTGACCGAAGCTTCTAATCATGCCTTTTTCTTGTTAAAAAAATCTTATCTGCGCAGATTACTTTATCAAAAAGTGCAATTTTGCGCGACCAATTTCTTCAAAAACCACGAATGTTTTGTATGTGTTACATTTATGTTCGTTTTTTTTTCAACGTTTGAACAATGGACCTTTTTCAAAAATTTAAGAAGCTTCAAATTTTGTTTATGTCAACCAGGCGCTGCTTAAAGATCTCCGCGAGGATTGGTCTGCGGAGATTCGCACAGGAAACTATCAAAACCCTGATTTGTCAGCTTTTTGTGCGCCGCGAGCAAAAATTTTGGAAAAAAAGGCCCAAAATGCAAGTCTCGAACTAAATCCCCCAGGACATAACTCCGCAGGAAAAAATCCCCTGCATAAAATCCCTCAAAGGAATAAATTCCCCTAAGACAAAACCCACCATATTTTAAATTTTACTACATCAAAAGCTACTTTGAGGATACATTTGTCAAAAGAAAAATGCCTTACGAAGGAAGGCCAGATTCCACAAACACACGTGGAATGTCTTTTTCCGTAAAATATCGAGAGCTTGTCACGCCTTGTCGAGCTCAAACAACGCTCTTGAAGGATTTCACCGCGGATTTGATTCGATGTTACATATGTCAGACCCAGATATCTTGAAGTTTATTGAAGCAATACAAATACAACAATCCTTGTAGTACTCTACTTTGTCGCAAATGCAGTTGGGAATGAAAGTACACGCGAGGAAGGAAGATAACTTTGGGGGTATAAAATGCATAGTATGTTTAGCGGCCAATTACAAGGAGATTGACCATCTAAAAGCTTTCGCTGTTAATTCAAAAGTTCAATTTAGTTCTCTTCATGCTTCTATTTTAATCTTATGTATGTTACCAAAAGCAATTTAGTTTTCGGAGTTGCGTTTTGTCTAATGCTACTGTGGGGGATATTAAAATAAGTACTGGGGGACTTTGTTCTAGGGGGATTTGTGCCTAATGGGGGTATATTAAATAATGTAGTGGGGGGGGGGGGATCCTGGGGTTTTTGGTCAAATATCAATCGCCAAAACGCACATCATGGATTTTTGGTAATTTTTGAAGTATTTGACCAAAACAGTTTTTTGTGTGTTTTCTTCTAACTTTTAGTATATGTTAGAATTTAGAATTTTTGTGTTAGTTGATAATTCCAAAATAGAGAACTTTGATTTGTGAGAAAGTCAGTTTTTCCGAATATTTTCCTGAGCAAAGGTTTATTGTTCCGACTTTCGATACGAAAGTAACGGAATATTTGTGCTCGGGGTGGGTTTTTTTTTCTTCAGACAAATTTCGACTTTTTAACTAGCCATTTTTGACGGAATTTTTTTATATCATTCAAAAGGTATTGTTGTCCTGAGCTTAGATATGAAAAGATATTTTACCTATGATCATATTTTGTAAAGTTATGCGGGTTTAAAAATGCCATTTTGGCCAGTTTGGGACAATTAAAGCGCGATATATTTCGCGCTATTAACGCGTAAGCGGAGATTTAATCCGTTTTACAAATTGTTCGAAATGGGTTCAAGAAAGCTTATATGTCATAATTGGTTTGTCAATAGGAGCAAAATTTATCACTTTATCTTTAATATGGCGTGTGGGGGGATGATTTTCACAAAAAATTTCAAATTTTAGAAAAAATTTTCATTTTATTTTATTTCATTTAATTTTTTTATGCTTTTACTGCTGCTCCATAAACTTTAAAAGGCAGTCGGAACATTCAGGGCTTTGCCCTGATACGAGCAGTCTTGTTACTTATTAAGGACCAACTCATCATCTTCCCCTATAGCGTTTAAGGGCTTAAAAACAAAATGGTTCAATCCACGTTTCGCCAAACAATTTTTATTCAAACCAAGTATTGCGCGCGGAGAAGAATCGTATTTTGGTCTACTTCGGGGAAAGAGGCGAGGGAGGTTTAATGCCCCCCCCCCCCCCTACCTCTTAATTGAATCATCTGGGTTATCGATTCATACTGGAGTTGTGAGCAGAAAAATTGCAGAAGAATCAAGACTCTATGGCACAGTATTACTTGATAAAATCAGCTCCCATATTGGCAATTAGATACAAAAATATGTGCGATTAATTTTTTTGTAACTGGTAGATTTGCAAATTTACTGCAAATTTGTTTTAATTTTTTTTTGTACAGCAGAACTTGGGACGCCATGTTTGTGACATCTTTCCCGCTAGCTATGCTTGTGACCTCTAGTTTCATTTATGTTGTTCTTATAACCTTTATACTAAAAAAGTTGACTTAAATTTTCCTTAAGAATTAAACCGAAAAAGTAAAAAATTACCATAAATAGCTTCAAAGGTTCAACAGTAAAGACAAAAACAAGTTCTAATTTTTTTATTTAAAAAGTCACGTCACATAATTTGAAAAGAAACCGGATGCTATAAAAATTTTTGATGGTATGCATTGAGCGAACAACTGATTAAGTTGCTTAAAATCTATTCAATTGGGTTGACCGAAAAGGTTGTTTTTTACAGTTAGCTGAGATAAAATATTTCGCTTACATCCCAGTTCGACTCCGCACAAAAAATGCTATTCATGCTATTTCATTTCAGGATAGTTGATACGCAATATGTTATGCTACTGAAACTAGTTTTAGAGACTTCAAACTCCTAAAAACCATGATTTTTTTTCTGAAAGAAGTGCTAATCATACAAAATGATACTATGGAAATCTAAGACAAAAATATGGCGAATCTCTATATGTAGATTATCTGTTAACTTCTTGATTCATATAAAAAATTGCTGGTTATTTTGTTTCAGGACTGAATATATATTTGCACTTAAAAGAAACAGCTAGTCTTACACTTTCACACAAGAGAAAATTGTAGCATCACATTTTTATACTACGAAAAAATGCTAGTCACACTTTTTCAAACAACGAAAAAATGCTTGTAGAGTTATCAGACAATGTTCAAGACGTGTGAAACAACTGTTCCCCAAGCGTGACGGGCATTTTTGTCAATTCCGGCTTGCTGCCTCTTGAGTATACAAACTGAGAGGAATTAATGCCTTTTATTTAAATTTAAGGGAGTTAGAACTAAAAAAATTTAGGCTTTGCTTAGAGAATTTTGGAAGACAAAAAAAATTGAGGAAAAATTGTTTTTTTTTACGTTAAAAACTCATCAAAAATTATGAATCACTTTTAAAAACTAACGTAACTTTGCACTACCTTAAAATTTTTTATAAATGCCTATAAATACTTAATATATTTATCTATATTTATTGCAAAAAAAACAAGGTTTATCAATTTTTCGATAAATAAATTCACCTTATATTAATTGTTTGAGTACGAAAAGAATGTAAGTCAAGTTTGGTCCTCGCATAAATTGCTTTTTTATGGGGTGGGTTGATTGAGCGCAAAAATCAAATTAGAGGTGGAATGAAGCAATTTAAAGCAAAACTATAAAATAAACCAAAGCTTTTGCAGATTGATTCTAAAAATGGATACTCATTTTTGTAAAAACTAATCCCTCAAGGTTGTTTTATTTTTTTGATCAACTAACTTGATAAGTTTATCCTTTTTTGAAAAACATGAGCTACCTACTCCCGGCGCAACAATAACCAGCAAAAAAATTCTGAAACGTATAAAATTGAAGTGAGACTATTCCAAGGTCAGACATATTATCCAAAGAGGTTAATCGAACGCGGTAGTCAACTATTCAAAACTGATTTATATTAAGCAAGGTCAGCTAATGATCACAAACCAATTGTGATTAAAATAATTTTTTATTCGTTTTATCAA